CGGCAGTTTCTGGTGAAACAGCAGCTGCAGAATTTCAGCCGAGTCGAGGGCCAGCAAGGCCCAGTGGCGCCGGTGTAAAAGGCTCGGTGGGTTCCCTGGGAAGAGCTTGGCCACCCTGGGAAGGGGCCCCAGCTACCAGAACGGGACCTGGAGGGTTTCCTGGGAGGGCCCAGAGCCGCAGCAGAGCCTGGCCTGGGGTCCCCCGCAGTCTCCATCCCCTGCCCAGGAGCTGCTGGGGTCCTGCGCAGCAGTCCCCAGAGGCCACACAGGCCCGGGTGAGCAGGGCCGGCCCCATCAAAGCCGCACTACCTTTCAAGGCCAGAAACAAAGAAAAAGAGTTCCCGGGCTTGGGTTTTTAAAAGGTGGTATTCACAGAGGTGGATCTAATCTTCAGTGGTGCAAAATGCTGTCAGTTCTCAGAACTGGCCAGCCATTGGCCTGTCTCAGGCACAGAGGAAGCTCCCAACAACTTCTCTCAGAGAAGTCACTTTCGTGGGTGTTTCCCACTTCTTCCCCTAAATACCAAATCACCACAATCAGTTTACCTGAGTTCCTTCAAGAGAGAACAACTTTCTTTATCCTTTTTTCCTTTTGGAATCGCATACTACTGAGATCAGAGTTCCCTCCAATCAGAAAACTTGTCAAATAAAAAGATAGGGCCTACAAATACATTTAATCACTTAGCTATTACTAAATATTGTTTCAGAGGGAAACAGACTCAGACTAAGCTCAGCATGTCTCCTGAACATAACAACCTCCACATGCTGGTTTTGTCTGGGATAGAGTTAATTTTCATCAGAGTGGCTGGAACGGGGCTGTGTTCTGGATTTGTGTTGAACACAGGGTTGATAATACAGAGATGTTTTTGTTATTACTGAGCAGGGTTCACACAGGGCCAAGGCCTTTGCTGCTTTTTGTGCTGCCACGCTGGCAAGAGGGCTGGGGATGCGTGAGAGGTTGGAGGGGACACAGCCAGGACAGCTGACCCCAACTGACCAACAGGATATTCCAGACCATATGAAATCATGTTCAGTATGTACAGTGAGGGAAAAAGGGAGAAGAATGGGGAAGGGGACATTTGGAGTGATGGAGTTTGTCTTCCCAAGTCACTGTTATGCGTGAGGGGGTCCTGCTCTCCAGGAGATGGCTGAACCTGCCCATGGGGTGCAGTGAATGAATTCCTTGTTTCACTTTGCTTGTAATGTGCAGCTTTTTCTCTCTGTTCAACTGTCATAATCTCAACCCAGGAGTTCTTTTGCTTTTACTCTTCCAATTCTTTCCAAAAAACCTGCTGGTTGGGTAGCAAGAGAGCAGCTGTGTCGGGCTTGGCTGCTGCCTGGGGTGAAATCATGACAAATCCCTCATTTTAAAGAAGGGTCTGAAGTAGGCTGACATCCCATTGTGCAGCACTAGCACCAAGTGAAGTTTGGGAAGGTGCTTATGCTCTAACCCCTGATTTTTTTACTACTTCTGTGCTGCGCAAACAGCCACCTGTGAAACAAAGAATTTAGAAAGAGAACATGATTACTGAAGTTGGTTTAAACTAACTGTTCATTTTGACAGAATAAGCATGAACCTGCCATGCTCAGGGACACTGCTTTCCCCTACTATTACTATTTTTTTTTCTCTCAAACTTTAATTTATTCTCTTATTCACTGTCATAACTTTACTCAAAAGAGTGGGATATGCATGTATGCAGCAAGTCCTAGACTTGTCCTTAAAGGACAGAATAACTAGCAAGGAAAAGAGAGGGAAAGGAAAAGTGAGATTTCGTCTATTTTGTTGCCATAGGGAAAGAGTTTGCCATACACTAACTGAACCACTGTAGTAATGCCAATTCCTTTCTGATAAGGAATGTCAAAGCCATGGAACAAAATGCAGATGAATGTGTAAAAAGATCAGAGCCTGAGCAGTCCTGAAGAGCTGCAGCTGGGATTTTTTTCAACTGGTCAGGGAACACATGCTCACTGGCAGCCAGTCAAGGTGGCCTCAGGGAGCCACTGAAGCTCCCAGCCTTGAGTGTCAAGCTTATTTACAAAAACAACATTTTAGTACTCACTGCCTTCTTAAAATAGTTCAAAATGGGCCCAAAATTTCCCATGAAGTTCTCTCTTCAAGAAAAGGCCAGTGTTCACTGTAGCTTTCTGTAAAAGTCTGCTTATTCTCCACCTTATGTTAATTTAAGCATGATGTAGATACACTGATGTCTACATAGGTACTTGTGATAAAACTCAAGCACACAAGTTCAAAAACAGACCAAAATTATTTTTTATAACCTATAGGGCACCTGTAACATACCTTTTAAAAAAATACATAGCTTCTCAATTATGATGCACCATGATGAATGAAGTCTGCTGTGCTGTCACCTCAGTTTGAATGCAAAGTGCAAGCCAAACCCCAACACAAAGCAAGAGTAAAACTCTTCAGAAGCAAGACAAACACCAGCTAAGAGTTTTTCATAATGCCTATTTTAAAGTAACCAAAAAGCAATGAAGAATAATCTACTCCATCTTCAACGTCTAACCCCAGAGTTGCACATACTAAACTGACTTGGAACTTCTTCACTATGCCCCCACAGTTCTAAACAACACTTTAGAATTTAAACATTTTTTGGCTGAACTTTATGAAGACTATGAAAAGGCCATGAAAAATATGACCTGCTATTAGCATTTTGCAGAGCTGAATTAAAACAAACAAATCCTAACATTTCCCAAGCTTAAGGGGCCAGAAGTGCTAGAGGGGATTTAGAGGCAGTGCAAAGGAGAGAAATTATCCCCATGAGTGGTTCCCCCAGGGCACCCATTCTAGCTAATGGAAGGAAGGAGCATAAGCCAGGCTCCAGGGAACAGCCAGGAAAGCTCCTCAGGTCCAGAGTGGTGAAAGAGCTGAAGAGCATGACAAGATGGGAGTGAGTGCTGAACCTAAGGGTGCTGAGAAGAGGCAGAGAGCAAAAGTGGAGAAGAAGTAGAGCAATGTTTATATTCAGTGAATGACACAGGCACAAGGATGTGCACAATTTTCAAATATACTCTTCCAATTTCCATTGCATTCCTTAATAATATACTTGTCCCAGTTGGTTCCAATTTCAGCCTTAGTCAGCAAACCCTTGACAACACAAAACATATGCTTGTTTTGGATTAATACCAGAAACATATGATGGCAACATACTAATCCAACAAGTTGCTATTAAAATCAGTACTTCACGCGGAAAAACCTATATTACCGATTTTTTCTACTCCTTCAGGAATTAATTTTCCATTGTTCTCTAACTCTCCATAGCCATTTTTACAAAGTCACTTTATTTATCCAAAAAACAACAGATTCTAGAAAAAATGAAGGGTACTTCTGGTCCAGTTTCCTCCCTTGGTCTTCCCTCCACAGTCATGACTGCTCCCTGTATTGTTGCCATCAGTTTTTAGTCTGAATCTAGCTCTAGAATGCATTCAGAGACAATATTTCTACCACTTCTTTTATTCATTCAGTAGATCCCACTGCTAGCAATGCCATGCACTTTTGACTGCAGTCCTATGAACTGCGCATAAATCTCACATTAGTACCTGCATATCTTGAACAACTGCGAGAGGAGGTTTTCCCATTCTGCTCTGTTCCTCCCCTAATGAAATTAAGTCTTCCTTGCATAGAAAAGTACCTGGCTCGGTATTAATCTCCCTCACAACTACATTTTGGATTACATGCAGAACATAATGAATTGAATTCAACATAGATATTGGAGGGCACATCTCTTCAGCCAGCTGGCCTTTCGGCTCTGTGAGAACTCACCTGGAGAAGGTACATTAAATATACCCTTTATTCTATCAGCAGTTTAACTTCTGCTAACAGCACAAAGCTATTTATGTATTGCAGTCATAAACTCTGTCTGAGCTATCTGAAACACTGCTCGAGCCTTTCTCAGATCCCTGAGCCTTTGAAAGCATTTCTTACCTAAATATCTTCCTAGTTAGTGCAATTTATTACTCTTAGAATTGTTTGGACTCACTGTGTCTACTTCTATTTCTACAACTTCTAGTTGAAATACAATTGTTCATATTTATAATGTGTACTCATTGTTTTAGCACGAACAACATGTACTTCTTTACCTTTACTTCCACTTCTAACCATTGGTGGTTAGTGGCTGTTCCATTTGCATAACATTCCAAATAATGAAATCTCCTGAGGTTTTATTTCTGTAAGGCTTAGTATTGAGCTAAAAGACATAATACAGGATTTTCATTTCTTCTAACTATTGACAGTAATACTGTATATTTTTTTCCCACAGACAAAATTTTATAGCTCTAGGGACTATCTCAGGGTGACAATTACATGATATTAAAAGTATCCATTTAAATCTGTCTCAAGAGCAGTCAAATGTAAATGACAATTTATTTTTTTTAATATTAACTTTTTCAGAATAATAATACTTGGTAGTCTAACCAACTTTAATTAACAGTTCATTATGATGGAAACTTTTTACTTATGGAGAGGCACTGTGTGTATAATATGCCTGTTTTTTTCCATAATTAGTGTAGGTGAAAGACAGCTTGGGGAATCTATCTTTGTATGATACATGAATTTCAATTTGATTTTATAAACAGTCTCTTTTCTTAAACCTTTCTCTGCATTCTGTGTGCTATACAGCATATTTTGGAGAAGGGAAGAAGTGTGTAGGAAGATCTGTCTCAAAACAGGCTGATTATTAAAGATTATCACTACCTGAACCAATGCTGCCTGGGGAGAACAAAGATGAGCAATATCCTTGATAAATCTGTTTTCCCCTAACTTATCTGGAGGAAGCTAAAAGATTTCACAGAAGCAGAACAAAGGCTCAGGTGTCAGGTTCAGAGACCACAGAGCTTAAGAGTTGGGGCTGGAGGGAAGGGGAGTGGGGGGAGGCCAATACTTGAACAAACTATGGAAAGTTGAGTACCACGGGGAAAAACAGAGAAGTGACTGTTTCAGCAGACATTCAAAAGTGCAATTCAGTCAAGAAGCCACACCAAAGGGAATCTGAATCCTGTAAAATTTATGCCTAATGTCAGTTACTCTTTCCCAGCAAAAAGGAGGCTGGGGCAGCATTTTTTATTGCTTCATGCATAACTGCACAGTGCTTGCAGTAGCTTGGGAAAGCTACATGGTTTGGAATTTTCATAAAACTTCTTTTTGTCTCCTTTTCCATGTTGTATTGAATTCTGGAGCTGTGGGATAAACTGCTGTCTGCACTGGGCTGGGGGTACACCAAGGCAGCTGTATCATCAATCGATTGGCTCTTATAGACAGTGAACAGAGGGCACTGTGCTTAAGTATTAAGCCAGGAAACCTGGGAAAAGAGAATGGTAGGGTTTATCTAGGCGTGAAGCAGAAAACATCCTCATCTGGTGTGCCAAGGCCCACCAGGACTTGCCTGGTCCCTGCACCCCTGGGAATGTTCAGTTGGAGCACTTTCCTCTGGGAAATGGCTGAATAGCAAAGCTATTCAGCAGCGACTAGGATATAACCCCAATAAACTTATTTAATAGTAAAGTAAAAAATTTGCCTCTAGCAGTTCAATTTCTGAACTTGTAATTTCCTCAAAATGTCATTAAACTGTTATAAAGGCAGTATTTTAAGAGGCAGAAGTGAAGGAATAGAAAGCCATTCAGAGATTTCAATTTTTTTTACAAATATATATTAAGTAATTACCAGTAAGATCCAGGTGCTTAAACCCAGGCATGAATCTCAGGAATCAGTGGGGAACATACCTCAGCAAGAACTGAACTTCAGCCCTCTATCTGCAGCACAAATTGCTCAGGGCTATTTTTCCAGGACTAGCAGTGAACCCACAGCATTGAAACACGGGGAGTGGCACCAGGGTGAGCATTCCCACCTGCAGGCTACGAACACCATGACCGCGAACAGCTGTGGCACGAAGAACCTTCCTTGAGGATTTCACACTTACAGTTCTGACAGGCAGTAGAAACACTTAATCACAGTACTTTTCCAATAGGCATCTGGGCAATGTGGAGCATAGAGTGTATCTCATGCAGGGAAGCAGTAAATGTTTCTCACTGTCACATGCTTAGTGGCAATCCATAACCTAAAACACAGCATAGACACTGAGGAAACAATGGTAACAGCAAGCAAGCCAATAGGTCTCTTCATTCCCAACAATCAGGATGAAGCGTTCATAGCTCTGACCTTTAAGGTCCCCAAATAATTATTTTAATTAACTTAAGTTTTCCCATTTCATCACATTTCCAAAACATAGGGTGTCCTAGATCTTGCTGTTGCCTCTTGTAAAGCTTCTAGGAGTATTGCAGGGGTCAAAAGGTACGTCCACATGACACAACCCTAAAATTCCCAAAACTGGGCAGGTATCAGGTGGAATACCAACTGCTTAAGCACTGTCCCACAACCACTTGCTGTTGAGTCCAGTGGAAATTACTCAGGTCAGCCTGCATGAGATTCCACAGCATAGGAACATCATCCCCTGTTCCAGCCACACAGATATTTAATTCCTACTATAAAGATGTAAGTGCAGTGACAGCAGGAAGACCAATCTCATCAAAACAACCAAACCAAAAAAAGTCCCCTACTTTTACATTGGGTCAAAACTCCGAGTTCTCCAAACCTACAAGGGAACATACTTAAATAAGCATTTCAAAGAAAAATTAGCAATCATAATTAGTGCCCAGTTAGGACAGATAACTCCCAGGGAGACAAAATCTCTGCCTTTTCACAACCTAAGTAAAAAACTGCCAGTTGCAGGGGGTACAAGTTACAACCCGTTTGTCTCAGCTGGCTCAAGTTCTGCCAGAAAAACAGCATCATCCCAAGAGTTCTGGTGCCATACACAGCTGAATCAAATACAGTGAATGACCCATGATGTAAACAAAACAGGCCACTTACCCCTCCCTCTCCAAAGACTTTTTATACCATGAGAAACAAAGAATCTGTTGGAGGGACCTGTCACCTGCTCCCATAATAGGCTGTGGATGCAGCAGTTCTGGCTGAAGGAAACTGTGAAGCTCTTCCAGGGCGTAAGTTGTGGCAGGTTTTGCACAAGAATAGGCATCTGAAAAGCTGAGGAAAAAGAAACCAAACATCTTAAAAGTCCATCCTAAATTTCATTATGGCCAGGAAGATGTATTCCAAAGCAGAACTAATTTTCTGGATTGTAGTGCATTTAAAGAAAATACAGCCCAGCTTTTTTAACCACAACAGATTTCTTTTCTTCACACTTTTATTAACTTGGCATTTTACTTCACTGAAATGCTATAGGTCCTCCACATAAAAATGTGTCTCACAAATGTAATTTTCAACTCAAAATCCTTCAAAATTAGAGTAAACATTTGTCTCCACTTCTCATAACAGTTCATCTATACCATAACTGGCATACAACTACTTAAAAATCTCAAGTTGCAGTCCACAAACAGAAGTATTTGACACACAATGCTAATCTCTCACCAGTCTACTCTTCTGTCCTTCTGTGAGAATAACAGGTTGCCCATCTTCAGGCTGCAACAACAAATTGGCCAAGGAACAGCAAGTCTTCAATCGGCCAAGGAACAACAGGTCTTCAGGATCTCTCTGAATAAGCCTTGCTCCTTTATAGCAGTCCCTATACTCATTGCTTTACCCTTCGCTGAACTTACACCAATATTCGGATTTTAAATTAAAATTTTCTGATGAAGTCACAGCCTTGGGAAACACACAGACAGTTGCCTTGGGATTGTGGGGTAGTAGGGGTCATTCTGCAACTATTACAAAAGTGTTCTCAGAGCAGCATCTAAAATGGCTCCTGTTGGTACTTTGTGTGCCACAGAGCAATACAAGTCAAAGACAACAAATACTCCATATAATCTGGGTTGTCTCCAAAGACTTTACTATGACTTTTGGTAGGCAAATGCTAGTGCTGGTGGAATGCTGCACTCAGCATAGAAATGCTGCAAGAAGAAGCTTTATGCAAGCAAGAGGAGACAGGCAGACCTGAAAATAAACTACTAATGTGTCGGAGAAGGGAGACGCAGACACTAGGTGGTCGTCAAGCAAATCTCGTTTATTGATCATTACACTCGTGTTTAAATACATGATTTAATTAGCTCATACATATTGCAAAAGTATAGCTCATCATTGGTTATTCTGCTATCTACGTTACTGCAGTACATAGCTATGTGCCTCTGCATTCTTGCGGTTACCAGACCGTCCCTGGTTCTTCTTTCTCGTTCTGTCTACCACATTCTTGTTCTCCTCCCCATATCTCAAGGGCAATCCGTCCTTGAGACTGCCTCTGCACTAGTGGTGTTTTATCTCTAGCAAGTTTGTACAGTCATGGCCTTTCTCGCTTAACCATTCTGCCACAAAAGTCTCCACACTAATGTTGTGTAGAAGAGGATGGGCAGCAAGCCTGAGCTCCCAGTAGGTCTACTGAAGTCATAAAAAGCCATTTCAGACAACAGATTACTCTCTGTATCGCAAACAAAAAACGTGCTTCCCCATTTGGAATCACCATTTTCTGTTCTCCTAGTTTGCTTCAGCACTTACCCAGGCACAGAGGAGCTGTAGAGGATGCAATGAGCCTATGTTCCTCTGTTCCTTTAAAAGGAGTAGGTATAATAATTTCCCTCACTGCTATCATGTTTTGTTGAAGATAAGTTAATCACTTCCCACCCTTCTCACAGTTTCTCTAAAAGCCATTTCTCCTTTCCTAAAATTTCCTCTAAGCATTAAGAAAGCATGCCTTGGAAAAGACTGGAGAGCAGCTGCTACTGAGTTGCAGCAAGGCATCCACCATAGAACTTCATCATGCAGAAACAAATCTGGGACAAATCTTCTAACTTATAAGCTTCTTTAAAAAGGAAGTTCTAAAAGAAAAAGCTGAGTGGGATCTATTTGATTCTCAGTACTGTAAGACATTTAAAATTAGATTTAAAATACTTATTCCCAAATTCCTTGGTTCACTGAACTTACAAAGAATAATAATTTAAAAAATCTTTTAGCCAAGTTCTGTCAGCAGCACGAGGCACCAGTTTTAGATATCTGGGGGCTCCTCTTATTATGTGAGCAGTCATGGTTTGAGTCCCATGCAGACGTCTGAAGAGACATAACTACTTTCATTAAGAGTCTTTATTCACAATAGTCCTTCAATTAAAAGGGAATAAAGCAGAAACATTTCTTTGAGTGGAAACAAAATAATCTTGGGAAAGTGATAAATCAACTATATCTTCTAGGTAAGGCATTCCCCTCCCCAGTATTTCTCGGCAATGCATCTAAGTTCAGCATTTTTCTCACAGCTGTGGGTGACTATTGAGCCAATGTTTCAGAGCTGGCATGAGCCATATCCCTCATTCTCTGCTGTCACAGTTGCAGTTTGCTGTTCAGGTTCAGCTCTGGGCATGAGGAGATGAATGGCTCTGAAGACACTACTTAAAGCTCTCTCAGCTGTCATGCACATGCTTTTATTTGCTGAGAAGTAGAGAAGGAGTCCCTCACTGGAGGCCACCTGTTAACTCAATCACAGCCTTCCAGAACTTCAGCACAAGCAATGGATGTATTGCCTGCCAACCTCCTCAGAGCCATAGAGGCTCAGTACTGAATCTCCAACGTGTAAAAAAAAGGTGCATGAACACTTAAACGGCTCTTTCAAAGAGTTATACAGACCCAGTAGGGGGGAAAAAGCAATAACTGCTATTTTTTCCTTCACTTAACCTGTCTTCCTATGGAAATGAGGCTATTATTTGTCTATGTGTACCTTATTCTAAGCTTCTTATTCCTTTTCTTACTCTTTTCACCACCATGATTAATTTTAGAACCTAAAACAATGATTTCAGCACGGTAAAGGTCCCTGAATTTCCTCCACAAAAAAATCACCCTAACAGCGGAGAAATACCCTGTAAGCCTTACAAGTAAAGGAAGCAGTGAAATGAAAACTTGTAAGGTTTAAGACACCAGAAAACCCACAGAGGAAGGAGCTCTTATCCATGATTGCTAGAGTTTATAGTCACAGAACTGAAACCCAAGTTCTGGTGTTATGAGTGTGTTGTGTTCAGTTTTTCAGTGACTTTGTGCACGCACAGAGGACAGCAAGGAGGAACACACACCTACGGCCTTGGAAGTGTGACCATGTCTGAACCAGGTGCACCAGTCTGACATACAGTTTCTGTCCCTTGCACACATTCAGAGCAGTCAGGGTGTACTAACTTTCCTCCATCTCCTTTGTCTCACAGGAGCCACAAAGTTGCTCTGGGTCCTTCCCCTTCCTGCTCAGCAACAAATGCAAGCAGCAAGCTCCACCTGCGGCAAACTTCAGGCCACAAACCACAATCTGAAGCAAAATATATTAAAGAAAGTATGTGGGGAAAAAAATAGTTTCTGCCTTTTAATTAGCTACTTCCCTGAACAAACAAGGCCAAGGCACAGATGCTCCCAAGCAGAAGGGAATGTGCAAACTAAGGAAGTACAAACTTAAAAAGAGAGAAGTTCACACTAAGGGGAGAACCAGACACAGACTAGGGAACTGCTGGTTCAGCACAGGAAACATCAATGACTAATATTCATAAACTGTAATGATGCAGGTGATTGCCAGGGTTCTCCACTGACTCGGTGAGCTAAAATACATGACTCCTCCCCTTGTCCTGTATAAGATAAAGATGTCACAGGCAGACAGAATTAGTCACTGTGAGAGTATGGACAGTACACGTTGATGGTGCTGGTTGTGAATTTTAAGATTTTAAGAGCCAGACTGTGGACAGGCATCTCAGCAGGACAGCAGAGGATAACCCATTAAAAATAAATATGGCATCTTCAGGTGATAGGTCAGCACAGAATTTCTATTTTGGGCCCCACAGTCAGTTGTGTTGTAGATCATGATTACCACTTGACTTGTAACAGCATCTTGTGTGAGGGAATGTGGTTTGGCTAGACCTGCATTGTGAGATGCATGGCTGAACAGAGGTCTGAATAAGGTCTGTACTTCATCAAGGGCCTACAGACATAAAAGACTTCAGATAGACATCTGTTATGATTTGGGTTGAGTATATTTTTTTCCCTGCAACAGAGACATTTGATATACTTTTGCAGCACACCATAAGTCAGAAGAACTCCATCAGAATTCTTGTGGTGAAAGCTTGCTAAAAACATGCCAAAAAAAAAAAAGAAAAACCAAAAACAAACAACCAAAAGACCCAACTGAAGACAGACAGCATTCTCAGACCTCGTTTAAAAAAAAAAAAAGTCTCTCTCAACCTTTGGTTTGGCATTTTTACAGTGCAGCATGCCAGACCTGTACATCCTAGTAATCTGTTAAAATATTTAAGTGCTTGCAATATTTTAAATGCATTGGTATTCTGGATGTTTTGGAAGGCTGGAGAGACCAAGAGGAATAAAGGAACATATTTCAGCCTGAAGCATGATGACACAATGAGGAGCTCTGGGGTAGCACCAGACATCATGGCCCGCCAGAATCCTCGCATCAGAACAGCTAGACTAGTTCAGGCTACTTTAATTGAGACAAATGGGAACTGTGTGTCCTGGAAGTTAGTGCTGAGGTTCTGTCTCCACTGTTTTGCTGCGGGTTCCACTGTGGTTTTACACCCACATCCTACTACAATTTTCAATCCTTCCTCAAAAGCACCAAAACTCAATAAATCACCATTTTACAACCAGAGGTAACTCACTCTGCGCAGGATCACCACAAGCAGCAGCTTCCACAGGCAAAAGTGTTTTCCAGTCCTCATTATGAACTAAAAAGAAACTTTTCTGATCATCTGTGCCAGGGTAGCACAGCCTTGCCAGAATAGTAGAGATCAAGTTCACACCCACCGAGGTCTCCTTCAAACACTGATGCTGAAATCCTAGTAAGACGTGCCAATGTCTGTTTCGTATCTCTCCTATGCAGGGAAAGGAGGTCTCTGGCTGGCTGACAGTTGAAAAGATCCTGATGCCTACTTTCCATCCAGATGACAGATGTCTAAGAAAGGCTGTCAACTCATTTCTCATGAAGCAGTTTTTAAAAATCTGGCATCTTTCAGCTCACACTGAATGAACAACACACTGAACCCCCAAATCCTTATGGAAAAACTGTAGTTATTTTACCAGTAAGAACCTGCCAGGTCTAGACTAAATATAAACTATCCAGCTATTTTGTGTGTGGTCAAATGTTCTGTGTGGTGAAATATCTCACCATAATATTTCATTGCATCAATCAATTAATTCTTATGCCTCTGCATT